TGGCGTAGCCTCCTGAGCTTCTAGGAATACAGGCCTGCACCCCTGCCACAGGGCTCTTGGATTCCTTTAAGTCAGGTTTTCTCTCCCCCACTACCGCACCTCAATTTCACAGGCTTAAGATTCCATAGTATTTGATTCTAGTGGACTATGCGTGGTGTCCCTGCTTGAGCTTGCTTTTCCTACTTGAGCTCTGGACCTTCTGTCAGTGAGGAGAGACTCTGACTTTCCTGTCAGCAATCTGCCATCTTGCCTCTATCTCCTTATTTATGCATTCTTACATCTCCTAGTAGCCTCTTAGTAATATCTCTTACTTGTACAAGATTTCATTTTCACATGTCCATTTATGCATATGATGTATCTTGATTAGAAGAACTCCATGTATCACTCTCCATCCTTCCCTCTCTCCCTTTCTAAAGCACTTGCAACAAACTATATTGATTGTTCCACTCCACCTCTGTATAGAAAGTATTTTGATCCTATTCACCATCCTAACCTCTGTTCACTTTCTTCCTATGAGTGCCCACACCCCAGACAGTCATGTTCCATCTTCTAATACTCACTTTTATTGAAATGCTTTTTAATTGTTAAAGGGGCATCACCATGGGATTTTATATATCCACCACCACAGTTTAATGATTTTATATATTCACTATAAAATGTTACATTGTATGTATGATTATATTATTACATAACATTATATATTATAGTACTGTAGTATATAATATACATGAGTATTATAATACTGTAATATATAATAGTACAATCTTATATAATTTTGATAAATATAATTAGTATATATAACATGTGTATCTTATATGTGTTTATATATGCTTATTTTAGGTCTAGCATGTACATATGAGAGAAAACATGTGAACTTTGAAATGATGTAATTTCATTCTGTTTCTTAGCTTAATAACATTCATGATACATACATTTTCTTGATCCATTCATGGTCTGTGAGTAGTATTGATAGCCTGACCCTTGTGAGTAGTGCTTCCATAAATATGAGCATATAGGGGCCTCCATAATAATCTCATATACATCCTTTTGAACAAATGTCCAAGAGTGGTAGCACTAGATTGCATGGTAGTTTTTTTTTTCAGTTTGTTAAAGAACATCTATACTGGTTTATCCAGTGCTCACATTTGTTTATGGTCCTAAACTAGTGTATTAATAAAGTGTGATTTACCCCCAAAAATCCTTGCCTCCATTACTTGCTTATGTTTTTGATGATGACTATTCTGCCTAGAGTGAGGTGAATTCAAGTATTGTTTCAATAACCATTTCTTTGTCAGCAGAGATAGTCAGTGTTTCTTTATGTATTGATTGGCCATTTGTAGTTCTTCTGTTTTGGGGGGAGGGGTTGTCAGTCATGGGCTTTGAACCTAGGACCTTAGTGCTGTCTCTGAGTTCTTCTGCTCATGGGTAGCACTATACCGTTTTAAGCCACAAATCTACTTCCTGGGTTTTTTTGGGGGGATGGGGGAACAGATGGTTAATTAGATCTCACAGTCTACCCATCTTTTCTGCCCATGATCCTCATATATCAGCCTCCTGAATAGGTAGGACTACAGCCACCAGCACCTGGCTAAGTTGTACTCTTTTGGGAAGTCTCTCTTCAGTTCTTTTGCCCATTTATTAATTCATTGTTGATTCTTGGAAGTTTGGGTTCTATTATTTTGAGGTTCCTGCTCTATTGAAATGATCATGTGCTTCCTGACCTTACTCCTATTGATGTGATGATTATAACAATTCACTTGGAAATATTGAACCAGCTTTGCATCCTTGGAGTAAATACTGTTTGCTCATTATGTATGTTTTTTGATGGGTTGTTGAAGTGATTAGCCAGAATTTTGTTGAGAAGTTCTGCATCGATGTTCATCAAAAATAGATTTATAGTTCTCTCTCTCTCTCTCTCTCTCTCTCTCTCTCTCTCTCTCTCTTTTTCTGATAAGTCCTTGTTTGGTTTTGGGATTGAGGGTTATGCTGGCTTCGTAGAATGAGTTTAGGAGTGAACATTTGCTTTCAATTTCATAGAAAAGTTTGAGGAATACTGGTGTCAGTTCTGCTTTGAAGGCCTTATAGAATTCAACTGTGAATCCATCTGGTCATGGGCTTTTCTTGTATGGGAGATCTCTTATTCATTGCTTGATATGGGTCTATTTAGATGGTTTAAATCTTCTTTGAGCCTTATTCTCTCTTCTGTGAACTTTCTATCCACTCCTGAAGGGAGAGGAGGTTTCTGAGTTGCCTACTGTTCATGATGAAACAGACTTTCCAAGGCACAAGAAGCCAGACACAGCTGAGAGAGGTTGTTAGCTATCTATCTGAAACATTGATGGATGTCTTCCCATTCTGTCTGTCAAACAAGTTGGACTTCCACCTTGACAGTGCACAGACACTAATAAAGATAGCAGAACTTTCTTGATTTCACTCCTCAGGACTCTAAGCGTAACACACAAATCTGTCATCCCAAATATGTGTCTACTAATGAACACTTCTGACAAACTCTCATATGTTATCTTCTTTTTTATATGGCTTGACATGGCACCAGAGTTCTTATGGTGACTTTCATGTCCTTACTGAGAGACTGTGGACATCATATTCATTGGCAAATTGCTCAGCTTCTTCCATTTCAGCTGTTGGCTAATATAGAAATTCCAACAAATCTCAAGTATAATGTAGAAATAATATTTAGCATTAATATTTAATATTTATTTAAAGAATAGCATATTTCAAATCAATAATACCTAATCTTTGTAGAAAGATTCAGTATCTACCTTAAATTTCATGATGTGATATCTTTGATTGTTTTTAGTGTTATTGTTTTTGGTCTTGAATAATCTCACATAGTCCAATATTTCTTAGGTTCGGGCGGAAAACCATCTTCAGGTGGTGTTTATTCCAAATGGCTATCGGTGACACCTGTGCAGCCTTTGCTCCCACCTTCCTTGTTTACTGTTCCCTGCGATTCTTAGCTGGGTCATCTCTCATGCCTGTCCTAACAAACTCTTTTGTTCTCAGTAAGTAAATCATTTGAACCTTTAATTTCCTTCATGAGTAGCAAGCTCTTGAAAACATGATTTGCAAAAAATAATTATGACCACACAACTATAATTACAACTGTGTTTTCTTCCAGTTATAGAGTGGACAAGACCTCAATCCCAAGCTTTGTTAGCAATGTTGATTTCCTACAGTACTGGGCAGATGCTCCTGGGAGGACTGGCTTTTTTCTTTCGCAGCTGGATCACACTGCAGCTGATACTATCCATACCTCTGTTGGTCTGCTGCGTGTTATCAAGGTATGGACAATATGTGTGGCCTTTAACTCCAATGAAAGGGGAAATAGAGGCTTAGAGGGAGGACCTGACACTAGGGATCTGTGTAATCTCTGAATGATCCTGTCACCTCACCCACAGTCACCACTGTGCTACTGAGATACAAAGGAGAACAGAATGTACTCTGCCAGGAGGCTGCAGCTGTGGAGTGAGCACTTTTCTATCTTAACCACAGAATTATTATGGAATCTTTTTTTTCTCTCCTTTTAAAGCATATGTTGCTTGGAATAAGAGGGGTCTGAGGGAGCTATTTCCACACATGTAAATAATTTACTTTCACCATATTCACACCTTCTATTAGCATGTAAATAATGTACTTTGACCATATTCACACTGTACTTTGACCATATTCACACCTTCTATTCGCTTTTCCTATGCCATCTTCGCCTCCTTTTTAAAATATAATTTTAACTTGTTTAACAGGTTTAACTGTGCTGTTTTTTACAGAATGAAGTTATATTTGCACTGCACCCCCATCAACTACTGACTTCAATCTCCCTGTGTTCCTATGGCTCCCCAGCATTTGGGCCCCATTTACACTCATGACATACAAGTGCCATATCATATAAAATATATTTAAGTCCAGATTTGCAGACAAGAGTATATGATATGTGTCTTTCAGAGTCTGGTTTTTTTCACTTAACTTGATCTCCAGTTCCATCCACTTTGCTATAAACAACATAAATTTGTTTATCTTTTTGAGTATAATATGCCACTCGCTGGATTATTTCTAGGGCTTATATTCTATTCCATTGGAATATGTATCTTTTTTTCCTACCATTACCATGATGATTCATTACTCTGTCTTTGTAGCACAATTTGTAGCCAAATATTGTGATACCTCCAGCATTGCTTTTTTTGTCCATGAATGCTTTGACTCTGCAGAGTCTCTTGCACTTCTCTATCAGTTTTAAGATTGCCTTTTCTTTTTACACAAGGTATGTCACTAGAATTCTAATGGGGGCTGCATTGAATCAGTAGAAAGTTTCAGTAGTATATAAGCATGCCAGGTCTTTTCATCTTTTGCTATCTTCTTTAATACTTAATGCTTTGTACTTTTTACGTTTTCATCAAAAGTGATAAAATGAGCAAACTCTACGACTTCAGCCAGCAACTTTCCTACTGGTTTTTGATCATACTGTGGAATAAAATTTTCATGGACTTCGTTGCCCAGACTGGCTTCAATGTGTGATCCCAAGATCTCAGCCTCCTGAGTAGCTATAATGAGAAGTGTGAGCACCTGTTCCCAGTGTGAACAATTTTACTGTGTATAAAATCACTGAAAAAACCCTCTTCAGAGCTTAATTATATGGCATATAGATCATATAGGGATATTAACCATTGGATTGTCAATGGATGCTCAGACTACTTGTTCATTCCTCCTTGTTGTCTATAATTACTTTCAACAAACAAACACTTAGATACCCTTCCTGTAAGTCCACCAGAGAAGGCAGATTTAATCAGAAATGACTCTACTATGATGTACAAAGTCTATATGAAATGGAGAGGAAAAGATATTTCAGATTAAAGTTATGTGTAAAAAAAGCAGTTAGATGTTTACTGTAGCTGTGTTGTCTTCTTTTTCAGGATGCTGGTAGAGTCTGCTCGGTGGCTGGTTTTTAGCAATCAGCTAGAAAAGGGCTTAGAGGAACTTAGAAGAGTTGCACGTATAAATGGAAAGAAGAATGCTGAGGAGACCCTGAGCATTGAGGTGATCTGAGAAGGGGGCTGATTACTGGGAATGGATGATTTGAACGCACAATCCTACTATTCTGGGTCCTTTAGGCATATCCCAAATTAGAATTTTCTAAGTGAGAAGTTTTTTGTTTTTGTTTTTTCGGTCATGGGGCTTGAAGTCACGGCCTGGATACTGACCCTGAGCTTTTTCCATCAAGGCTACCACTCTGTCACTTTGAGCAACCATGCTACATCCAGTTTTCTGTTGATTGATTAGAGATATGAGTCTTGGGAACTTTCCTGCCAAGGCTGGCATTGAACTGGGCTCTTCTGTTCTCAGCCTCCTGAACATGCTGCTTCTAAGTGACACTTGCACATCACCGTTTTAGTTCCCCCACAGTCTTATTATTGTGTAGAGAAAGAGGAACCAAATAAAAAAATGTGTCTATCTTTTGTCAGAAATCAAATCATTGTTTGAATAAAAGAGCAATTTCCCACACACGACACACATATGGGCAAGGAAGCAGTAACCCTTTCTCACTAGTTCAATAAATCATGGTTCACTTTAGGGAAAGCATTAAATATCATTTTAACTTCCACGCATTTCATTCAAAAATTAAATGCTTAATAGGCAACAAATAGGAACTCTTCCTCTAATCCAAGTGCTTTGGCAGTAATTATATAAAAGTCCTTCTTTCTCTGACATTTACACTGTCATTATCAGAGAGTACTAAGATGTTGCCTATGTAGAAAAGCTCTTTGAAAATCTTTTTATTTTTTTTGCATTTCTTTTCTTGTTGTGGGGTTTGTTGATGTTTCTCTTATTTGTTTTTCTCCATATTTCTAGAACGTAGGTCCTAATATGGCTGGCTCACTCATAGATACATTTTACTCACTCATTTTAAAATCTTTGAGGCTGGGCCCTAGTGACTCATGCCTATAATCCTACCTACTCTGGAGGCTGAGCTCTGAGGATCCAGCCTCAAAGCTAGCCCAGGAAGGAATGTTTGGGAGGCCCATATCTCCAATTAACCACCAACAAGCTGGAAGTGGTGTTATGACTCAAGTGGCAGAGTGGCAGCCATGAACACAAAAGCTCAAGGGCAATGCCTAGCCCCTGAGTTCAAGTCCCAGGAGCAGCTTAATTAAAGAAAGAGTTAAAAAATACCTTTGAATACATAAAGAGTGTCAGCACAGTGTTGGATATTACTAACGGAATTAACTTCATAGCATCTGTCTGAAAGAAACATTTTAAACTAGGGCAGAAAAACTGAGAGACAGCCTAATACAAAATCAGTGCTAATCCAGTCTATGTGCCAGGCATTGGTGAGAAAACCAAAAAGTGTTCAGCCAGCATTAATGGTCTAGAAAGGACTAAGGTGATAAGAGCTGGAGGAGGCCTTTGACACATCACCAAACTGGGCAGCAGTGGCACTGGGGACAAACGTGCCCACAGGCTGCCTCTGAAAGACAGCAAATGCCACATAAGAAAATGCTAACCAAGGAAGACACAAAGGTTGTATGTTCCCAATCAAAGTAATGTCATCCCTCTGCTATATGAAATAGCAGTGTCTCCAAAAGTTTCCTTTCATTACAACCAACATATGCTCAAAGTTCAGAATCTATTTTTCCTTGTGCTGGGTACAAAATTAAGGGCCTCTTACATGCTACGAAAATGATCTCCACTCCACCTCTAGCACACAGAATCTGAACATTTTAATGAGGTATAAAGGTGGATGGGACTACTTAAGCATTGTTCTCTGATTATAGAATCTTTGTATATAAATCTGTGAAGCTACAGAGTAAAAAAAAAAAGTCCACCTGTCCCAAACTCATCCAATATGCAATGATTATATGAGCACTGTGGAAATACTGTATTGTTTTTGTTCAAAAGGGAGAGGTAACACACAAAGGAATCCAGAACCTAGCTGAATCCAGCTAGGCAAAGGTTAGCAATTCCTATTGTAGTTTTGAAGGCTTGGAAAATTCTAGCAGACTGGTCCTCAGCAACAAACTCTTGCCTTTCAATCAGAGCTCTGAATTCTTCACATCTGTCATTAATGATAGATAACATTTCAAATAAACAGTATTCCTAAATAGTTTCCCAAGGAACATTTCAGCGACACTTCCTCATTTTGTATTTTATGTCTTTACTTGGATAATCTAAAATACTAACTCACTGATAGAACAGTCTGTCATATCTACTACTAACTCTCCACATGCCTAATGTAGTAAATGAATAAACTGTTATAAAAATAATAAATGCAAACCAGGTACATCTGCCTCCTAGCTACTGAAATCCTAGCTACTCAGGAAGCTGAGAACAGGGGATTAAGACTCAAAACCTGCCTGAGGCTATTATCTCCAAAAAACTACACAGAAGAAGGCAAAAGAGGGCTGGGAAGGTAGCTCAGAGGTAGAGGGCTTGCCTTGCATGCATGAAGCCCTGGGTTGGATTCCTCAGCACCACATAAGCAAAAAGAAAAAAATCTGGAAGTGGTGCTGTGGCTCAAGTAGTAGAGCGCTAGCCTTGAGCTGAAGAGCTGAGGGACAGAGCCCTGTCCCAAAGTTGATGCCCCACAACCGGACCCCCCAAAAAAAACTGAGAAAGAAAAAAAAGAGGAAGGCAAAAGAGTTGCTATGGTCAAGTGGTAGAATGCTAGCCTTGAGCAAAAGCAGCTCAGGGACAGCACCCAGGCCCTGACTTCAAGCCATAGGACCAACACACACTCTCTCTTTTAAATGTCAAGGTTCTTTACTTGTCCTTACCTCAGTATTTAAACAGGCTTTAATCTTATCTAATTCCCCTCTTCCTGTATCTTTCCTGATTCTTCCCACCTGAGATGGATTTAATGCCCAAGTCCCTACTCTGTAGTTTTCCTTGAAGATACAACACACCATATGTGTATCATCTTCTAGTATTTAGCAAAATAATTGGCACATTATTGACATCTCATGAATGCTTATGACTTTTGTTGTCCAAGGTTGTGAAATTCAACCTGCAGGAGGATTTTGAGGACGCCAAGGCAAAAATATCCATTTTTCAGTTGTTCCATGCACCCAGGCTGTGTGTGAGAAGCTGCTACCTGAGTTTTATCAGGTATGTTCCTTTGAATAAGCTTATCAATATATTTTACCTCCAATATCTTATTAGAGAGGAACTACATTTATTCATTCAAAAACAATAGCAACAGCAGGCCAGGGACTGGTATAATGCTTGAGTTCGGGACGCCCAAAAAGACTACCAGAGACCAAGATCGATGTAATCACCACGAGGTATTTAGTGCTAGCTTGCTTGGTCCTCTGCCCACAAAACAAACAACTGGTGACGCTGAGAGGCCCGAGCCTGGGGTTTGCAGCCGTTTTATACACTCTTTGGGGAAGGCTGGGGATTTGCACTCATCATATCATTCCTTGACAACTCAACACACACCGCGGGAAAATCAGAAAACATCTCTAATACATGGTTCATGGGTCCAATGGCGGGAAGAAATTTGGAAAGAGTTATTGGTCAGATACAGAGGTTGATGCGCTTTTAAATGATTGGTTAAAGTCACAAGGGTGGTGCAAGGGAGTACATGCAGAACTGCAGGACTTTCTGGTTAGATATTGGTCACTACTCCTAGGTGGGGTGCTGTCTGGAATCTCGGGCAATTTGGCTTATCTTAGGTAAGCATCATCTGCAGTTTTCCAAGGACTGTTTCTACTTAGCTTTCGGTGGAATTTTCTGGCTTTAGGACTGCAGTAGGTCAAAGGCTAAATTCCAGAATAAAATGAGGTCTCAGGTAAATTATTGGTCAGGTCTTTCACTGGTGGCTCATGCCTGTAATTCTAACTACTCAAAAGGCTGAGATCTGAGGATCACAGTTCAAAGCCAGCCCAAGGTAGGAAAGTCTATGAGACGCTTATCTCCATTTTATGACAGAAAATACCAGAAAGTGGTGCTGTGACTTCAGTAGTAGAGTGCTAGCCTTGAGCACCAAGAGGCTCAGGGACTACATGCAGGCCCTGAGTTCAGGCCCCAGGACTCTCAAAAACAAAACAAAAGAAAACAGTGGCAGCATTATAGATAACAGATCAATACATAAGATAAGAAAAATGATGTTAACGGGTTTATGTTTAATTACCACCTTTTAATGTTACCTTATGAGATCTCTCAGTAAGACTGAACTACAGAAATATGGAAATCACATTCCAGAACAAAGTTCAGCACTGCATATTAGCATATGGAGTAGTCTACTGTGAAACATACTTGAACATTTTATCTTTTTAGTTTTTATTGAAATAGAACTTACATAAAAAAAATTGCAGCCAGGCTCAGAGGCTCACAACATGATTCTAAGTGCTCTAAGTGCTGATGTTGGGAGGATCTCAGTTCAAGGCCAGCTCAGCCAAAAAGTTCACAAGACCCCATCTCAACCAATCAGAAGAAAGGGGTGGTGTCATCACAGCTATGCAGGGGCATAAATAGGTAGGTTTGGGTCCTGGCTGGCTCTGGTAAAAAGCAAGACTCTCTTTGAAAAATAACAAAGGGAAAAGGAGCTGGGGTTGTGGCTCAAGTAACAGAATCCAAGTTCTCATACCTGACATAAAACACCATTATTTACAAAAAAGAAAAAGGCACAAATTCTGTGTTCATTGAGATCCATTTTATAAATCCTTAGGGACATAAGATAGCCAACCAAATGAGCACATTTTCATTCCTTGAATCATTTCTCTTCTACCTTAATCCCATTAAGAAAAATGATAACCATACTTTTCACTCTCTTTCTGAGATTATTTTGCTTCTTTAAAAAAAAAAAAAGCTTTTGTTAGCACTTGAGTTCTGTTATGGGGAAAAGAGTCCACTACTCAGAGATAGCCTCAAGTAAAAAGATGACTTTACTGCGGAAGAGGAAAGCTGACCGGCCAGGGATGCAGCACACATGAAAACTGTGACCCTGAATGGCCCACAAGCTAGGGTTTTTAAAGGCAAAATCCATGTGGTCAAGCCTGGCCACAGGCAGGTGGCCGAACGGTTTACAACACCCACATAAAGATTGCATATTTATGTTAGTGGCTAGTGGAGTTAGAGTCCATCTTATACTATCTGTTCTAACTAACCTATCATTCTGATTTGATTAGGTGAGTGAAATTGGGGGCCCACACAAAGCAAGCAGGTATTCTTTCTCCTGGGGCCAAGATAGGGCTGGATGGCTGGGCTGTTCTACTATTGTTAACCAAACAGGGCTGATCTTATCTGGGGTACTGATAACCAAACAGGGCTGCAGATCACACAACCTTACCACAACAATCAGCAGGGCTTTCCACATTTCCTGGGGTCTCAACAAACATCATATTTCCTAACCCTGGGGCTATTGAGAAACCAGTATTTTGATTTTCAGGAGTATGGGGAACTCCTGGTATATTATAAAAGGAGTTAGTTTTTGCTTCCCCCAACAAATTCCAAGTTAATAATAAAAAAAAAAAAAGCCCTGTGTGTATATTGGTGTGTGTTTGCTGATCCTGGGGCTGGAACTTGGGACCTTGGCATTGTCCCTTAGCTTGTTTGCTCAAGGCCAATACTTTTCCAGTTGAGGCATACCTCCACTCCGCCTGAGTCCCACAGACTTTCTGCACAGGCTAGCTTTGAAACTTAAACCTCAGATCTCAGCCACCCCCTCTCCCTTTCTCTCTTTTTCTTTTTGTCAGTCATGGGGCCTAACTTTGGCCCTTGGCACTTTAGCTCTTTAGCTCAAGGCTAGCAATCTACCACTTGAGCCACAGAGCCACTTCCAGCTTTTTCTGCTTATGTGATGTTGAAGAATCTAGTCAGTAGTGATGAAGAAACAGAGAAATTTGAAATTCATGAAGAATTTTTACCAAAATACATTGTAGGCAAGAAAGTATGAGTCACAATGATTTGGACCTAAATCTAATCTCTACTGATACATTTGTGTGCACCTGCTGCGAATCTTGAACTATTTCCCAGGGAAAGCAAGGAATTCACTGATCTTTCTTTTTTTTTTTTTTTTTTTTGGTCAGTTCTGGGACTTAAACTTTGGCCTGGGCACTGTCCCTGAGCTCCTCAGCTCAAGGTGAACACTCTACAGCTTGAGCCACAGCGCCACTTCCGGTGTTCATAAGAGTCTCATTGACTTGAACTGGGATCCTCACATCTCAGCCTCCTGAATAGCTAGGTTTACAGGCGTGGGCCACCGGCGCCCGGCTTCACTGATCTTCTTTTCCTTTGTATCTTAAATTAATTTGCTCTATCAATTTAAATGTGTTTTTATTCTTTTAACTTCAGAATGGCACTGTCCATACCCTTCTATGGCCTGATACTCAACCTGCAGCACCTGGGGAGCAACATCTTTCTGTTCCAGATTCTCTTTGGCCTTGTCACACTCATCAGCAGATTCGTTCCCTTCTTGGTATTGAATTATCTGGGCCGAAAACAAAGTCAGATACTATTCATGTTCCTGACAGGACTTTCGATTCTGGTCAGCACCTTTTTGTCCCCAGGTGAGAAATGAGTTGGAGAAAAGTAAGTAATGTCTCCTATCTTCCAGAAATTTCTTTGGTTTACTCATCTGGGCCAAAAGAATGGCATCACCATGGATAACCGGAGGATCCCATGAAGTTAATGTGAAGGCTTAGAAGCTGTCCCTACAGCAGTTGTTGGCAAAACTTAGGCTCTTACTGAGCCAAAGTTCTTCAGGAGCCAATGTTCTTAAGGACCCGAGGCTGTCCTTATCAAATCTACTATAAATCTGAACATCAGTGCCACTGATACCTAACAATTTCTTTAGAACTAATTGCATGCATTGTGTTATCAAAGATCTTGCAATTGTAAACCCAGGAAGACACACAATCCTCTTCCTGGAATTATTTTTTCCAATTTATCAAGTCTTTCTATCTTGGTCATTCTCTCCTTTGTTAAACTCTAAAGGCAACAGTTTAAAAAAAGAGGCTCATTGATATGAATGAAGGGTTTTGTTGTTGTTGTTGATTTGGGGGGTTGGGGGCAGGGCTTCAATCATGGCGCTTGAACTCAGGGCCTGGTTGCTGTCTCTAAACCCTTTGGCTTGACTACCACTCTACCACTTTGAGCCATACCAACACTTACAGTGTTGTAGTGGTTAATCAGTGATAAGGGTCTAATGGATTTTCCTGCCCAGGCTGGTTTTGAACTGCCATCCTCAGATCTCAGCCTTCTAAATAGCTAGAATTTCAGGCATGTATCAGGAACACCAGGCCACTGGAATAAGAGTTAGAAAAACAAAAACAAAAAACAAACAAAAAACAAAAAAATAAACAACAAAATCCCTTGCCTTCAGGTAGAGAGAAAGAATACAATAGGAAAAAGACAAGACACTAACTTAAGTATGGTTTTTAATTTTTTTTCTTATTAAAGAGATATAAGAGGGGTTATGATTGTGTAAGTCAGGTAGGAGTACATTTGTTTTTGCACCCCTTGAGTCGGTATAATCCAGTTTTTGTTTTATAATATATTCCTAAATAGCAAATAGATGAAGAAACTCACCCAGGACAATATACTATATTAATTGCATGATTTTAAGTGATGATTGTGGGGTCCCCTCCATCATGTTCTCACGGCAGGAATGTATTTGAAGAAGCTAGAACTGTATACTTCTTCTATATCCTGCTGCCAGCCGGCTCTCCTCTGAGAGTACCTTAGTTTTTAATCATATCTTTGACTACTTTTACTAGGTTTCAAAACTTTTTCCATTTTCTGTGTCAGTGATTCCCAACACAGCACTAGCTTTCTCATAGGAGTCCTAATGTTAAGATTTTAAAATCCTGACTTGTTATCTAGATCCTGCTTTCTTCACAAACTTCACTCCCAACGGAATCCAGTTCTCTTGTTAGTACATCTGTTGGAATACCTGTCCTATGTCAAGAAATAATCTCCTGTTCTTAGTTCTAAACTGTTGAAGGCATGAGTCATTAACTCCTTGGATTTTTATCCATGTATTCCTACACATCCTGAACAACAACCACAGCAACAACAACGAAAAGAGCATTTCCTGACTTTCCCTGCCTCTGCCATGTCTGATAAAACTCAAATGGGCAGGGAGAGTTGCAGCAAATGTTTTCCATTCCTTCATTCAGTCCTTAAGCCCAAGCATACTAGTCTGCTTTCACTAGCTCATCGTTACATAGTTTCTCCTACGTTCTGTTTGTTTATCACATGTTTCTTGCTAGCAAATCCCTCCAATAGAACTTCTCATAATTGTTTGGGGTAGACAGATTTCTCCAGTCAAGTATGCCTGCCTCTGATATGTCTTCCTCTCTACAGAAACTCAGCAGACCCTGCGCATGGTTTTAGCAACTCTGGGAATTGGTGTTAATACCTCTGGCCTCACAGCCTATTCAATTCACTCGATGGAGCTCATCCCAACTGTAGTGAGGTACTGTCTCTCAAGTTTAAGATATCCTGGGCTACATAACACTTAAAAATTACAAAACAAAACCTATTCTGCTTCCAGAGAAGATTTTCTGAACTAATGACATTTATTGTGGGGACAAAATTAAAACTTCTCATCTTTCAAAACAATAATAAAACATTTAAATATTTACAAGGACCATATCTCTACATAATAAAGGCTATATGTTTAAACTGATAGGCAACAGTGTACTAAGAAGGAAAAAATAAAGTTATTTCCTGTAAAGTCAAGGATCAGAAGTGGAACTGTGCCTTAAAATAGTAGCCTTGAGGAATAGAAGCTCAAGCTCCCAAACCACCACCAACAACAAAACAACAACAACAACAAAAACAAGTAAAGAGGAAAAATCAGTTGTTTTTCTATTTACCAATAATAATGAGGGTCAGAAAGAAAAGAGTTGCGCTTGCAATAGCCTCACAAATTAAATTAAATACCTGCAAGTAAAGCCAACGCAGGAGATGAAAGGCTTCTACAATAAAAATGATACATTTTAAGAAAGAAGCCATGATTTTTTTCATAGGTGACCCATATCACTATTATTTGTGGTGCTGGTCCTGGGACTTGATCTCAGGGCCTGACTGCTGTCCCTGGCTGCGTATGCTTGGCTGGTACTAATTTTTTTTTTAAAGAAGCCAATAAAGTTAAAAAGAAAATGGATCTCCCATGTTCATGAATCAGGAGAATAAATAATGTGGTGAACTACTGAAGGGAATCTAGTTTCAATACAAGCTGTTCCAAAACTCCAATATCATTTTATACAAATAGAAAAAAATCAATCCTGAGGTTCATGAGATTACACAAGATCTTAACTAGCCAAAGCAATCTGGAACTAACAGGACACTGCTAGAGATGTCATACTTCCCAACATCAAAATACACTATTGAGACACAGTAACAAAAAACACATCATAACAACACAAAAAGTAGACAGCTAGATGACAGAAGAGAAGAGAAGACACAGGAAAAAAACACACAACTTCTGGCCATCTGATCTTAAACAAAGGGGAAAAACTTACATTCAAAAAGGATAGCCTCTTTAACAAATAGTTGGAGAAACACAATATATAAATAAATATCAGCAATTCAAAGTACATTACTATCTCTCATTCCCTACAAAAATCAGTTCAATACAAAATGAATCAAGATCCTAATTATGGCCTGAAACTGTGAAAATGATTGAGGAAAGCACAGGCAAAGAACCAAAGAAATTTTCATAGGTGATAGCTTTCTTTTTTTTTTTTTTTTTATGTCGGTCGTGAGGCTTGAACTCTGGGGCTGGGAGCTGTCCTTCAGCTCTTCAGCTCAAGACAAGAACTCTACCACTTGAACTACAGCGCCACTTCCGGTTTTCTGGTGGTTTATTGGAGATAGGAGTCTCAGGGTCTCTTCTGCACGGGCTAGCTTTGAACCGCGATCCTCAGATCTCAGCCTCCTGAGTAGCTAGGATTACAGGTGTGAGCCAACAGTGCCCAGCTTAGGTGATAGCTTTCTGAATAACACTCTAATTGCTCAGCAAGTAGAATCAAGTATTGAGACAAGGGACTAGGAAGGTGGCTCAGCGGTAGAGCTCTTGCCTTGCATGCCTGATGCCCTGGTTGGATTCCTCAGTACCACATAAGCAAAAAGATAAAAGCGGAAGTGGCGCTGTGGCTCAAGTGGTAGAGCGCTAGGCTTGAGCCGAAGAGCTGAGGGACAGTGCCTAGACCCAGAGTTCAGGCCCAAGACCCGACCCAAAAACAAAAAAAAAAAAAAAGAATTGAGACAAGACTTCTGAATTGTGAAAGAAATGATTACCAGGTGACAAGAGAGACAATAGAATGGGAAAAAAAATGCATTTAAACTGTTAATCAGATAAAGGATTAATATACAGTGCATACAAAGATCTCAAAGAATTAAACAGGAAAAAACAATCCAGTTAACTATTCACTCATAAATAATCATTAATTAACCAGCAAACATTGGAAGCGTTAATGAGAAGGTGATGGGGGTGATTATGGCTGAAATACTTTGTGTGTGTATAATGAAAAAAAATGGTGAAACGTGTTAAAATTGTTTCAAAAAGGAGAGAGGGAAGATAAGAAAGAATAAAACAGGGTAAATGAGATTAAGGTAGATTGTAGATATATTGCATAATGTAAGATTTATCACAATAATAATTCCTTTTTACAAAAAGCATGAATAAAAAAGGGAAGACTATGATTTCATTAAAGGACATGGCACGTTGCTAGACATAAAACTTAACTCAGGTGCTGGGAAGATGGCTCAGTGGTAGAGCGCTTGTCTTGCATGCATGAGGGAGGCCCTGGGTATGATTCCTCAGCACCACATAAGCAAAAAGAAAAAAGCTGGAAAAGGCGCTGTGGCTCAAGCGGTAGAGCACTAGCCTTGAGCTGAAGAGCTCAGAGACAGCACACAGGTCCAGAATTCAGGCCCCATGACCACCCAAAGAAGAAAAAATGAAAAAACTAAAATAAATAAAAATTAAGTGAAAGCTTATTGTCAGTGCTCATGCCTGTAATCTTAGCTGCTTAGGAGGCTGAAATCTGAAGATCACAGTTTGAAACCAGCTCAGGCAAGAGTTCCTAAGAGTCTAATCTCCAATTAACCAAAGAAAGACAGTACTGGAGCTGTGGCTCAAGTAGTAGAGGACTGGCCTTCAGAGAAAAAGCTCAGGGACAGTACCCACACCCTGAGTTCAAGCCCTAGGACTAGAAGAAAAAGTTTAACCCTGGGTTGTAAGTTGAGTATATATCCTGTATTATATTGAGAGATATGCTCCATCTAAATCATTCATTTAGTGTTGTAGGTATCCCTATTTTAAGAATAATGGAACTAAGGGTTACAAATCATTAGCAGTAAGTGTGACAATTGACAACTGGCTGCCAGAGTCTATGTGTTTAATAACTTTATTGTGTTACTTCCAAAATGAAATGAAGAAAATACATAAAATTTACTTGATACAGGCATGATGTCAGACACCTGAAATCCAAGAAGTTGTGAGAGCAAGTCAGGACAGTCTCCTCCTTGTCTACATAGGAAGATCAAGGCTTTAAAA